AGGAAATTTGTCTAATATAATTTATTTCACAACTTTTAAGATTATATACTTTTCCTAGGAATTGTATACAGTGACGGATTACACACATTTCCGTTAACATATACATATGCAGGTCATATTATGTGGAATTTGTTCACTCTATCGAGTATTTATTGTATATCTTTCTCGTAAAGTAATGAGAGAAACATCCGCCACAATCAAATCGTTGTATTTATATTTGATGTAATAATGAATAAAAAGCATTTTGCTGTTAGTTCTCCTTCCCCATGAGATATTAACCATTTTAGGCCGAATTGATTCATATGCGAGCCGAATTGGTCGAATCGAAGTCGAAGCACGAAATTTTGGAACAAGAGTTGCACAATTTGATTCTTCAATTACACTCGTCGCAATTGTCCCAATTGCCATCGTTATCGTTAAATAAAAATCTAGATCCGACAAAACATGACATTCACAACATTAAAAAGCGACTTGACGAAGAAATAAAAAACAGCCCTACGCGACTGCCAAACAGTAAGTCATTAAGTCGTTTAAAAAACGATAAACATTCGTAAGTCGTAACGATTAAAAAATATTCCAGTTAACAAAGACGGAAACGACGAGATTAAAATAAACCCTTATTATATAGAATTAACCCAGTTAAAGTCAGAAAATGCACAAATACAACTAGAAAATGCTGCCTTGAGGAATTCCATTTTAGCCCTGAATAGTGAGGTGTATGGTGCCAAATTGGCCGCCAAATATTTAGACAAAGAATTAGCTGGAAGGATCCAACAGCTACAGCTTCTAGGTATGAACCGCTTTGATTTGGTTTTGTATTGAAGTAAAATGTTCAAATGTTGTTGTGGTATGTTGGACAAGGGTTATCTGATCTTTTGACTGATCATTAGCTGATTACGTCAAGCTTCAATCGCACATATTTTTATTTCACTTCTTAAACCTAATACATGTACGTACAGTATACTACTATATAACTCGAACATCAATGGAGATACCAAAAATGTTATAGAGTTTTCGACTTATGGAGGGTTTTGACTTAGGCGGATTTTGATTCGATTTGCAAAGGTTAAAATTTGATGTACTTACATTGTCGACGAATCCTTAAAGTCGATAACTTAACGAACTATAAATAGACATAATAAATTTTCAAATTATCGAGTTATAAATGTTGTAAAATAAAACATTACTATGTTCGAGATACAGAGATCCAATTTAATTTTTCTAATTATATGTACTAAAATGGCTTGCAGGGACTAACTGATTATTTAGACTAATACAGAGTAATGAAAGTTTTGGGGCTTGAAGGGAAGGGACAAAACATTTTTTCGCGTTTTGGAGGTTTTCTTAAAGAGGTTCTACTGTACTGTACTGTACAGTGAAATTAAACGATTTTAAATTTACATAAAATTATGTATATACATAAGTCTTGAGTTTTATTAAAATCAAACCCTACAACATTCACGGGTGTGAAAATATCCACATCCACAGCATATACAGGAATCAAACTCCGAAGTACACCACGAGACTAATTAATATTAACTTGACCGTAGAAAAAAAAACGTTACAATTACCAACAAAAAAGTGAAAGTTAATTACAGTTGAATTATTCTATGAATTATAAAAAGGTAAAAACGCTCAGGTCCGCTGAGAAACTATCTCAAAGGCATAATCTTACTTTAAATGACTCTTAGAGTTTAGTTACGAATAATTATTGTGGGACAAGAAAAACTTTTCACTAATTAAATTAAATTAGAATTTATTAAAATCCTTGTATCCTCTGACAAATTGCCTTAAAGGCATAATCCTGCTTTAAATGACTCTTATAATTAGAGCTTAGTTACGAGAAATTATTGTGGCTCAAGAAAAACTTCAATTGAAAAATCATAATTTAATATTAATGGGTTTCGTACCGTGTAACTAATTCTTGCGCAAAGCTCCTCGATTTAGATCTTCGTACCAAAGAAATACCAACGGGAACTATTCTGCATACAGTCGAAAGCAAAATGCAGATTAAACCGCAGTTGATAGATAGATATGAAAGTTTTTATTCGGAAGAAAGTGTCAATAGAGTTTTTTCTTATTTAAATAGTATTGTAGTCCTCGTTCTCCCTTTCTACATTTTTATAATTCATGGAGTATCAGTTATAGTAGCGTTGACTCTTTTGTTAGAAATTGTGATGTTTTTATAGTTTTTTTCTACTGTGATATTAATGTTAATTGGTCCTATGACATATTCCGCAGTTTGGTTTATACATATTTTTTGAAAAATAAAAGATGGTATTAAACTGTATAAATTAAAGTTATCTTTTATAATATGACGGACTCAGGATTTATCTAATCAAAAGGATTGTTTTGGACTCCACTTTTCAGGTTATACTTATTTAAACAGTGAATATCCTTGGGGTTGGAGTCTCTGTTTTTTTTTTAAACACAAGTTTGGACATTTTATTTCAAGTTACTTCCAGTAACATTTTTAACTTGCCAAAATACAAAAACCCATTAGTCATTTCGCTTATTTACGCCCTTGTAAATGGTCCCTTTGGGAATGTTTTTCGTCTGTAATTAGGTAGAGAAATGCGAGGCGAAATTAGAGACAAGCTTTGGAGACAGTTAGAGTCGGAAATATTACTTCAGAGACATAAGACTGTTGTGAGGGCTTGTAGAAGAAATAGCGTGATATGTAATTCGGAGGGTGGTGGATCGAAGCCAAGCGTGCCCTCTATAAACGAGGAGGATGCCCAACAATTTGGTGACGTCAGGACCGTATTAGTCAAAAGAAATGCCGGACAAGGACTTGGAATTAGTATAACAGTAAGGGGATTGTTATATTTTCGTAGGAGGTGACTCATAGAATGTGCAATTTGGCTTCTACAGTCCCTAATTTAGTTAGAAACTTGCTTCGGCCTTCGTCTGTCTCCAAAGGGTGAAAACAAGTCGAGATAATCGTATCGGAATTTAATTTTTTTTCTAGCCGATCAAACTCATTTTCCTATGAGTCACTCTCACGATTTTCAAACAGTTTTACTCATGCTTTCGACATTCTTATAATAGTTCTTGATGCTGAACAAATGGAGAAAAAGCAAAAACAGTCCCAAATTTCATCAGTACCTAATATTATTCGATTGATACTTTTGGTTAGTATATCTTCATTTTATTTTACTTTGTTCAACTACAAATATTACACACTTTTCTAGCGTTTAACTGCTCCTAAACATGGACAAACAATTACAATTTCAATTATTAGTTTTCTCTCACTATCAGAATCATTTGACTGTCTGTATTAAAACAGGAAAACTGTTTTGCTTATAGTTAAACACGTAACATATAAAGAATTACTTCAAGAAAAAATAAATTATTGTAAAAATAGGTAATTAAAAGAAGTATTGTTTATTTGGGACCAATTTGCCGATTCTCTATTATTAATCGCATTTTTGATCATGGTTCTGTTATCTCGTTAGGGTGGTCGTGAACACGGCGTTCCCATTTTGATTTCGGAATTGGAATCAAATGGTCCTGCTGCGTTATCAGGACAGTTGTACATAGGAGACGCTATTTTATCGGTTAATGATAGGGATTTACGTCAGGCGTGTCATAGAGAAGCTGTAGAAATTTTACAGCAACAATCTGGCGATTGTCGACTAGAAGTACAATACATTGCCGCTGACGATAGTGATAATTCTTTAGAGGAAGATGGCCTAAATTTTAGGTGAGTCGTTAGTCAGACAAACAGATTTCATTAATCCTGATATTAATTCGTCTAGAAACAAGAAAGAAAATATCTAAAATATTATTAAAATAAATTAATTATCACCCCCTGTTAAATACCTAAAAGAATTTCTATAGGAGATTTTATTTGGGTTAATTTCGCCGAAATTTGGAAACCTCCACAAGCGCAATCGAATAGCACTCTGTATTTTCCAATTTACACTTACAATCTCGCCGTAGATTAGCTGACAAAAGTCAGCTAGAGTGTAGCATCTTGCTCTGTAGACGTGCGAAACGTCTAATCGTCACTAGATCCGAAAAACGTTAATGGACCAGTGGTATCGATGCTCGGCTGCCATGCAAACGGTCCTGGCCTCTATGCTCGGTCGATACTTTAGCTTTTTCTTAATTTAGTTAGTTAGCTTTTTACTAACATCTTTTGCAATGTTAAACGTATTAACAAAAAAGTGGTTTTGTTTTATTGTTTAAGATTGCGCTAGGAAAAGATATTACGAACGACTTCAGGTTCATGTCCTTTATTTTTGTCATCGCTCTTGGCTTATATTGTAAATATACGGCGGAATTTAAAGATATAGAGTGAGCTTGTGCAAATTTCTGAATTTAGACGAATTTATTTGAATAAAACATGAAATCCTCGATGAAATTTTTAACATAATTGTGTTCGCGTGCTGTAATTCCACCGACGCATCTTTTTTGTATTGCTTCAAGAATTAATTCTTTTGGTTTCATGGATTTCGACTGAGGTCCGGGCCATTTTCTTCAACTGCAGCATTAACAATGCAGTAAAGATTGACAAGGGCATATTTCTATATTTTCTTTCTTGATTCAATAAATAATTTCTGCTCTATCAAATTTCCTCCACACTTTCGTTAGATTCTTTGACCACGAAGTATGCGATCCGAACGATTCCATTAGTTTACATCCCTTACATTCCACGGGGTTAATGAACACTCCAACCGCTCCGCGAACTCCCGAATCAACCACTTGTAGCCGGTAAGTTTCAACCCTTGTTGAATCGTCCTTTTATGTGAAGAATAAGTTACATATTGTATATTCAATATATGTATGTATAGTGAATTCTGCACGGTGTGATACACATTATATATATATTTAGTGCTTATGCTCGATATATAATAGGCGTGAATTGATGCACTTCTTGATTACACAGTATTAACATATTTATGTATTTACCATTTTTTTTATACTATACACTTATGCATATATGTATATATACTGTTTAAAAAAAAGGATGCCATTTAATTATTATTACTTTGTTACTGTATTTATTTATTATATGTATATTTATTTTATCTAATTAGAAGTCAACGTTATTTTTTTTGCACATTAAAGCATGTACCGAATACATGTAGGGATCAATGCAATTTTGATAAGTTTGAAGCTTTTTTTGTTTTTAAATAGGTAATAATTTGCTGTGTTATAATTGTAGTCGTATAGGTATAAATATTGGCGTATATTGTTTAAAACTATTATTACTGTTGTTTTTAAATAAAACACTATTCCAATCGGTACACTACAATAAAAAAGCATGTTAATTGTGTTGTTTATTTTTTTTTAATTTTTGCTGCCTATAATTTATTAATTTTATTCGAATAGTAGCCTTATTGGTTCGTCAAATTGATGGAATGATAATGTAGTAAGTATTATTTTTTTTGTTAATTTATTTTATTTCCATTGCTTTTGCAATTTTTATTATAATTTTCTCTTATTATACAGTCGAACTTCTGTTAGTCTAACATAATACGTACATGTTGTTGTACATTTATTTCGAACTTTTTTATACTCGAATTTCTCCATTTCTCTAACATTTTTACATTATAAATTGAATGTCTATTAATTTTCTTCGGAAAAACAAATCGTAACTATAATAATCACTTACCATTACACCATAAATTTTCACTGTGACACTTAATAATACATTATGGAAAACAACAAAAAAAATGGGTTTATAAGATTGCAGTGAGAAAAGCTAACACGAACGAAGATGTGAGATTATAAATGTTATTAGAGATGATATGATTTCAAACAGAAATTAAAAAGTGACAGTAAACGGTAATTTTCCTTAATTCGAGTTTTACCTAAGTCGATCACGACTGGTTGATAGCAGTTACTTCAAGAAAATTGATTCCAAAAATTAACTTTTTACATTTATGAAATAGACCTTAAAACAAATTAATTTTTCTTTTTCCATTAGGCTTTTTATCGTAAAAAAATTTTTTTTTATTCGTTAACTAATATATGAATGTAAAAATCGGTGTTGTATTAGTGCATGACATGTGTTGTACTCTTCTTCCTTCAAGGCGATTTTTTAAGCGCTCACCGAACTTGATCGATTTTAGGACAGAATCAAGAAACGGCAGTTCTTTTCCAAGTCCGATTCCTCTGATAATTACAAAAACTGCCGACACAAAAAGTAAAAAAACAATTGAAATACAAATGAACAATAATATTGATAATATTGTAACGAGCTTCGATGAAACAGAAGAAAATCGAAACAATACACCCACGAACTCAACAAAAACTATAAACGACAATACTACAACTACTGAATTGATCACTGATGAAGTTAATAGCAACAACATTCCCCTGAACATGGAATCAAAGACCGAAACTTTCACTAATTCCATTGAAAACTTGCAGTATCGTTTAAATAAAACCGTGGAATTTTATAGTAAGACAAATAAGAATATCGATCTTGCTCAGAAAACGACATCGGTCGATAACAAAGAAGAAAATCTTAACTGTTCTACTAATTCGCTTGTTTCGGAAAATTTGTCGTCGCCAATGCAGACTAGCGCTGACATTTTCCTAGATTCCGAAATTCTTTCCACCGATGTCGCTTCTAACGACTCGCACTCGCCTAAAAACATCCAGAACATTGATAAAGTCGATCAACACGACGACGAGACCGACAAATTTGGCAAGTTGATTGAAATAAAAAGATTTAACGAGTTTTGTTTGGAAGCAAAAAGATCAAACGTGTGTAATTACGAAGAAGAAGACCTTTCTAATCCTAGAAGCGACCAAAGCCTTCTCAATTCTGCCTCTGAAAGCTGTGATAGCTCACCGTTGCACAAAACAAGTCTCGATTACAAAAAGAAAGCCAAAAACAAAAAGTATTTCGGCATGAAAACGTTACAAAATATTTTCGCTCGTCACAACGGCTATTCAGATATATCTAGCACGGCTTCCGAGATGGGAGATGATAACAAGGAGATAGCTTACGATGATGGTGCAAAAATTACAAAACAAGAAGAAAATTATTCGGAAATCCAACACGAAAATATTGTGGACTCAACCAAACAAAAAATAATATCGACTGCAGACGATATAACGGCTCAGTTTGAAGAAAATATTCACGCATTTTTATCGGAAACGTTTTCTAAAAGTAAATTATTCCTGGACCAGGCCACGAATGGCATGAAAATTTATCCGAGACAACAGAGTCATAGTATGCGCATTGGAAAGGCTTTACGTTTGACAAATGACGATCAGACGGAAATCATCATCAGCGAGAATAACAAGGACAAGTATACTAGGTATGTCAGTGGATCAAATACGACGAATATAGAAGGAATTGGTGATCCCAGTTTTGGTACGCCCGTTTGAAAACAATGATAAAAACTAGCTGTACCGAGATTAAAATTTTGGACTCTGCATTAAAATTTTAAAATACAAAACGTTTGCTTTGCCTATCGAACAGAATAAAACTATAAATGTTTTTGCTTTAAAAAAAAATTATCGCGCTTCATTTACCTTACGTACACTACTATTACTGTCTAAAAGCTTGTTCCAAAATTTTAAAACTCGTACTGGTAAATCGATGCCATTTCTGTTGATAATCAGGAATCAAAATTTTATACCACAATTCGTTTGTTTTTTAAGTTTCTTGGCACATAAAATAACTCAATCGTATGATAATGTGATACAGATATTCATTTGTGTGTAAGGAATGTGGGGGGTAGTTGTAGACTAAAAATAAACTTACTATTACTTGTTATCTATTCATTACAAAATTTTTTAGTAAAACAAAGATATAGCGGAAAGCTACACTAATTCGTCTTATCAAACCTGCAACCTAAAAAGGGGCACTTGACTCCCCCAAAACAATGTTTCAAACTTGCCGTCGAACTCCCCCCTGTCTGCATTATATATACAGTGTGTCACAAATTGCTTAGGCTCATGTTTATCGACGTAATTTTTTTAAAAACATACTGGTATCAATCCTGAAGTTTTGTCAACAAAAATGGGCAGTTGGGCCTTATAATCTCCTCAAAATAGATAGTATTTAACAAAAGTATTAGACATTGAAATATCATCTGCTTTTTATATAGATACATACTTATATAATAAAAAAAAATGGATGATATTTTAGTTTACGATAGGTAGGTGGATTTTTATAGATGTAGGTATGTAATTTTACAACGCCTGATGTGTGGCAACAAAATAGATAGACAGACAAATGAAATAACATTATAATTAAAGCCCTTTCCTCCAGTACTTATACAGAATTTAGAAGCAGTATACATAGATGTTGTACATCTTTAATACTTAAATCGTGACGTAAAATAGATAATTAAAGTTAATGTCGCCGCTGTTATTTACCGGTATACTTAAATAGCAGTATTATCTTTATTAATACCTAGCTAACAATTAGTAAATGTGCATAAAAAAAAACTTTGGATAATAACACTGCTTAAAGGTAATCAAATACAATCTTTGTTTTTGCTCAAACAATTCGCCGAGAATAAAGTTAGTTTAACCCTTTAAACGTTTTTCAAATCAGTATTACCTCACGTTGTTTGTTGTTGTCCTATATAAGCCGTTAAACTGATAACTCAGCGTACCATTTATTTGTGGTAAAAGTTTGTTTAGTTTATAATATAGTGGTAACTGTGTAGTACGTTTATGTTGTAGTCGTGAAAGATTTTAGTTTTTGTTTAATATACTAGTAAAATTATCCCGAAAATCAAATCAATTTTGTGTTTATTTATGTTTAAAAATTAACAAAATATCTTAGCACTTACGAGTTTTGCACGTATGTATAATATATTCTAAATAATAAATAACCAACACTATTTCTGAACAATGATTATTATATAAAAAAATCTCTTGAGCGCTTTTATCGTTTACTTTAATTTATTTCTTTTTAATTCAAGAGTCCCACCTGATATTATTTCCGTTTTTTTCTTCTTTTTCTTATGCTTAACAAAGAATAAGCCACAAGCTTGAATGTTTTGAGATTATGCAGAAAAAACGTTAGCAATCGTTTTGTTAAATGCTCTGCTAGAATAAGAACTTTGTGAAATGTATTTTTTTTTTAGTTTATGCATCAATTAATTTATTATATACCTAAAATTAAACTACCGTATCTTACTTTGTTTTGTATATTACAATAAGTCTGTGTAATGTACCTTTTGTAATGTTTCGAAGCATATCATTATTGCTTAAAAAATATTTAATGCATTACATAAAAAAGTGATAATTACATATGTATTCTGATAAATTCCTTATAATTTGCACATATCAGTGTCCTGTTGGATCTATATTTTACAAAATACAGATATGTGGTAGTTATTCATATTTGATTTACTTAAATTTACTATAGGAAGTAACTATGATCTATTACATTAAAAAAAATGGTTAGTGAATAAAAATGAATACAGTCCTGTATTTAATTCAACTTAAGATAAAGATTTAATATATTTCTATTACTTTTTTGTTTAATTATAAAATATATGTCCATAAATGTTTTGTTTATAATCATTAATATTTATCACGAATGTAGTGAAGTATTGGAGAGATATACGCTGTTGACTACTGGCATTTAATTTTTTCTTTATAACAATTGTACGCCCCTAATTGCTTTAATAAAATACAGCTTTTTAACAACACTGCATTAAAATTAATTTTTGGGAATCCCCGTTTTTATGCCTTACTCCTATAGATAAGGAATTACTCTTTACTTTCTATGACACTAAATAACAGTTCTATGTAATCTATACGTATGTTTCTATAGTTGTTTGAGAGAGGTTATGTGCAAGCTTTTATTATTTGTCATTAGAAAGTGAATGTAATTATAATTGTAGAAAGCTTTACTCAATGCAATTAAAAACAGACTTATAGTTCTCAAATGTAATGACTACTTCAAGAGCAGTACGTGGCACAAAAGGCCGAATTTTTGTTTATATTTGTGTAGTGTTAATGATCACAGGAGTAGTTGTCTGTTACAATAGCACCCTTTCCCAATTAGATGATATTCGAAAAGCAAAGGATCAGTGCCATCAACAACAAGAGAATTTGTCCACACAATTACAAGGTGAAATCAGCTGCATACTATCATTACATATTTTACATCTCTAAAAAAATTTTAGTTATATTTGATTATAAGCAAAGACTAGAGAAGTCTCTGAAAACTGAAAAGGCCGAACATCAACAAACTAAAAGTGATCTCGAAAAAAAATTAGCAGATGAGAAAATTAAAAGTGAAAAAATTGTCAAAGATGATGAATTGCAATTATCTGCCTTAAAGCAAAATTACAAGTTATTAAAAGTAAGTGCTTATGCTATGTATACAGATTTTGTATAAATTTCTTAATTGTGAAAAATTTATTGCAGACACAGCATGAAGATTTTAAAACTCGAAGCACTAAAACTGAAGAGGAACAACTCAATCAAATTAATGTTCTTAAAGAGAAGCTGAAGAAGTTAGAATTGGACCACGAGGAAGTAAAGGTCACTGCTTTTTATAGTTGGTACAATTTGATTCAACTTTTTGGACTATTAATTAATTTCTCCTATAAAAAACAATTAGATTGTTTAAATAAGTTTAGTCATAAACAATTAAATTAATTCAAAATAACATTCATCAATTTTAAAAATAAAAGTACCTTAAGGGCTAGTTTGCTCCTCATGCTTACTTACCTAGTACTGTAGTTTTTAGAATAATTTAATGATAAAATAATACATTAAAATAAATTCTTTTTAGGCCCAATTACTGAATTTAAAGCATGAAAAAGAAAAATTAGAAGAGCAATTAAAACAAACAAACACAAATATGAATCCTGATAGTGAAGCAAAACAAATAAGGAATGAAAATAATAGTGTGAAGCTAGAAAATAAAGAATCAAAGGTGAAAAGCCCTCTTGCTTGCTAAAACATGCAGTAAAATAAAATTGAATTTTTTAGCACACACAAGAGAAAGACTTGGCAGCATCCAACACTCGCTTTTCAAAACAAATCAGCAGAGGTGATGCAGGGTACGAAATAAGAAATAATGGGGGTAAATCAGAAGCAGAACAAATGGATATTCCAAATAATGAAAACAAAGAGAGTGAAAATGTTTTAGCAGCCCCCAACAAAAATTTGCAATCCAGATCAAGTACAAAAACTACAATTTTGAAATCTAAAGTTTTGGATGATGCTCAACCCATCAATGTACCAACTATAACCCCAGGTTCCATTAAATCATCACCAGAAACTAACAATTTTGTTCCAATGCCTTATGGCAAGGGGAATCTTCCAAATGGAGTCGTACCTCCACCAAACAGTGTTGTTGAGCAACAAAAAGAGGACAACAATAATCATATAAAACAGGATATTAAAGAAACTTTTCCAGAACGATACCGAAGTAACATAGAAAATCAAAAAGAACCATCTGATGAAAATAAAATCAAAGAAGCACAGTTGAATGATATTAGAAATCATCTGATGGACACCAAAGACGAAAATAATGCAATCGAAGATGTCGATTCTCCTCCACACAAAAATAATCAGCCATACGACCCTGCATTTGCTCTAGACAACAATCAAAACAACATCGATAAAGATAAACCTGAACATGAGCATATCATGAGAATTAAACCCAATAATTTTGACGATCCTGCAGCAGATTATGACAGAAATGGTCATGATGCAGCTATTGAAGAGGAAGAAGATGGTAAAGACTTCATTTTATAAAAACAATATTTTCATTATGCTATAAATCGTTTTTTACTGTGAAGTAATTTTATTTACATTAATTGCAAACTTTTTATTGTATAGTTTTCGCTTATTTATCTCTTCTCGCACTTTCTTCTACTTTTATACAGCCTACATCCTTAACTGTTAATAGTAATATTCTAATATAGGATTTTCCTTGCGCCTCACTGCTATTTCTGCTTGTAATGTGTCTATAACTATATTTTCATATCTCAGGTATCCTACCTGCCATCCTATTTTCCCTATTCTTGTTGAAAGTATCTCTATTAATTGCAAAACTGTTTACAGTATTTTTCGTTTTAACTTTTAGATGATCTCGAAGATTATGGTAATGGAATGGGAAACCAGAAAGAACCTGCTGTGAGACATTAATTGTCAGTACATAGAAAATACTGAAGTACCTAGGAGTAGACATGCAAGTGCTCAGTATGGTATCTGTAAGTTCCTTCATGTTCTTAGCATTTTTTTATATAAATATAATACCTTCTTTGAGGAAGTCTACAAAAATTCCAAATATTATTAAATTCAGTTTCTACAGTTCTCTTAAGAAATGGGTGTAGTTAAATGTTTGTGACTAACTTTTTATGTTACTCTTATTCTAGAATAGGCAGAATCAAAGCTAATAAGGGGCAGAGTAACCTTATTCTTTAAAAAATCGACACCGACGTTTCTGTTTAGGTGTACGATTTTCTCAAATCAGGTTTTTGAGTCAGTAAATAGTTGATTTCACTTTCTCCGCCATCTGTAAACAGCGATTTAATGTCGCAAAAGCCCACCTTGAGAAAGTTTAAATTAAAATGCTAAACGTCGGTGTAGGTTTTATAATAAATCAATTCATTTTGTCCTTGTATTGACTTTTATTCTGTTTTCAATTTGATTTTATTTTTAAACACTACCACAAACGCGGTTCTTTGAGGATATCATATCTAATGATTTTGAACAGTATTCTTTACCAAAAGTATGCTTATTGAAAAACATTATCTGAAATTCTAATGATATGAAAAAACATCAATAATTAGAAACCTCATACAATTAATAAAAAATGATATGGCTTATTAAACATATTTGAGACTGAAGTTGGAAAGCATTTGATTTTAATCAAGGAAATGTCTGCATTGTCTTTTCAAATGAATAATAAATTCTAAATTAGTTATTTAATTAAATGCTTGAAAGAAAAATTGTACTCGTAATTTGTGTTCTCTCTTCTACCATTTAAAATTCATATTTTTATTATAAAGGTTTACACGTTTAGAATAAGGCTGATTTTAATTGTATATAAATGCAGAAAAAGTGTCATAAGTCTTATAGAGATGTAAAAAGTACCTAGCTCTTCTATATATCAATAATAATATTAATAATTGTTGACCNCCCTCTCACATCCCCGTAAAATACAATTAAAATTCCTGCCTTGTAAGTTTTAACAACAAGCCCCGGATAAGATTCGCCAACAACAGCATCTTCACTACTTTTAAGAACTTTGTCTGATTCTAGAAAGGCTTGTTTGAGAGTAAGATAAATATTATCATGTTCATCAACATTCCATATCCTGTAATTAAATTACAATAAATCAATCATAATTTTTTAATACCATTTTATTCTATTCCGTAGGAAAAAATTTTTAGTTTGTCTTTAAAAATAAAATGAAACAAACATCAACTAACTTTGCCTGTATTTTTTGACCAATGGAAAATTTTTTCTTGATGTAGTCACTGTAGTGTGAATTAGTTATCCAAGACTCTCCTAAAAATATTAAAATGAATTTTACATATATTCAAAAATATTATATTGTTCAATTTGGAAATTTAAAAGAATTTTAATTTACATACCTTGCTAAATCTATTTTATTTTGCTTGACAAGTTGATCAACATACGTACACCAGACGTCAACCCTTTGGGGTACAGATTGAATAATAGTTTCAAATAAAGCTTCGCCTTGTTCAGGTTCTCCATAATTAAACTCCATAATGGCAAATTTGGTAATTAAATCTACATCTGTAAAAGAAAAGCAAAGTTATGTGTATTATTCAGCTGAAATTTACTCAATTTTGTCGCTTTCAACTTACGTTCTTTTTTATTAACCACAGACCTCAGAGCCCCTTGTTTCAGGTTCCTTGCATCACTGAACCTTCCGCTTGTGTAATAAATCTTTGCTATGTCTATCCACATTCGTGGATCTTGCTTAAACTTCCCTTTGACCCTTCTTATTTTTTCTTGCATTTCCGCATAACGTTGCGAGTCAGCCAGCATTTTTATTGTTTCTATGTACACTTCGTACGAATCGTTGCACCGAGAAGCTTCTTCAAACGTTTTATCGAATGATTCCTAAAATGTACCTGAATATTTAATTCTAACAAATAAATTATAGATAAACTTACTTTGTCCCCAAATCTGTTTTCTAAATTCAATAAAGCTAACCAAACGTTTAATTTTTCCTGGGATTCTCTCATATCGATTGTTTCTATCGCTTTTCTTGCTACCGCTCTTGCTCTATCATTTTGGGTATTCTGGAAGTTGAAACAAGGTATTTTAAAAAACACAAAAATATATAAAATGTTTACCCCTATATGGAAAGCCATATACTGAATCCAAAGTTTCGATGAGTTTGGGTTAGCAATAAGCAACCTATCAAATTGATCTGCACTCTGAGGATTCTCAGATGCCTCTAAAAGCTCCATTTCTTTCCTCCGTATTTCCTCCTCTTGTTTTCTTGCAATTTCTTTACGTTCTGCAGGTGTGAGGCGCTTTTTTTTACTTTCTTCTTCGCCTTTTTCCTAAAGAATGATATTATTTATGAACCATATTATAAATAGTAAGTAAATACAAATACCTCATCTGATTCACTATCAGATCCATTTTTCTCTTTATTCAATACGTTCGTATCTGAAAAGAAATCATGAACACCCGGCAGAAGAACCTTGAGGTTTTTTTCGTTTTGCGAATTCATTTTCATTTTCTTTGCTTTCCCATTATCCGCAGTCTCATCCTGCAACTTCCTTTTCGAATTTTTATTTTCACGATCCACCACTTTTAGTTTTTGAGATTTCCTCAAAGCTTTGTTTCCATCTAAAATTTAATATTAAAATTTTGTTGTACAACCCTTTAGGTAAAACCAATAGTTTACCTTTCAGTTCTTTCTGATTTTCCTTTTTTAATTTGTTTTCAGTTGTTACTACATTTTCTGATGAAGAACTAATTCCTTCGTCGTCGTCTAATAATGTATTTTTTACTTCTTTTCCAGATTGTAATCCTACTCTCTTGCTTTTCGAGTTTGCTTGCTTTGAAATTGATTTTTTTCTTAAATTGTTTGTCTTTATTTTCAAAATACGATCTTCATTTTCAGAATCAAAAGATTCACTTAACCAACTGTTATCATATCCCTCCTTCAAACTGAATTCTTCTTCAACAGATACATTTCCCTCGTCGTCCGAAAGGTCTGCATTTTTCTCTTTCATCTTCTTTTCCACCTCTTGAGACTTACGAACAACTGTTTGACCTTTACTTTTCTTTTTACTACTTTTTTCTGTTGAATCTCCAATTATTTTTTTCTCTGAAACTGTACTGTTTCCTTTATAATCCATGTGTTCAGTATCACCTTGTACTATACATTTCTTATCTGCTTTGTTTTTCTGTTTTTTAATTGTCCTACTTTCTTTAGATGATGTTTCACAATTTTCTACATTTTTTTGTCTTTTTTTACTGTTTCTCGCTTGTTGTTTACCCTCATTCAATACATTTAAACTTAATGTAATTTGGTCATTTCTTATCTGACTTATAACAACATTCACCTACAATTTTGATGTCTCAATCTCATCCTAAAATTAAAATATTTAAATGTCTTACCACTTGGCCAACATGAAAAGCTTCTTCTGCTACTAAACCATCTAAATATTTCTGAGGAAGAAACCCTCTCACATCCCCGTAAAATACAATTAAAATTCCTGCCTTGTAAGTTTTAACAACAAGCCCCGGATAAGATTCGCCAACAACAGCATCTTCACTACTTTTAAGAACTTTGTCTGATTCTAGAAAGGCTTGTTTGAGAGTAAGATAAATATTATCATGTTCATCAACATTCCATATCCTGTAATTAAATTACAATAAATCAATCATAATTTTTTAATACCATTTTATTCTATTCCGTAGGAAAAAATTTTTAGTTTGTCTTTAAAAATAAAATGAAACAAACATCAACTAACTTTGCCTGTATTTTTTGACCAATGGAAAATTTTTTCTTGATGTAGTCACTGTACTGTGAATTAGTTATATGTAAATTTTTTATGAAACCCTTAAGACAACCAAAGGTTACTAGAATTCCTGATTCTTTTATTTCTATAATTTTTGATGTAACAATTTGACCTATTTTTGCATCTTTAATGGAAAACCATTTTTCTTTAATAAGATTTGATTGGACTGTACAAAAGTAAACATTGTCCAAATGATGATAATCCAAAATTCGGCATTTGTGTTTAGACCCCACGAGATACTTTTTCTTAACGTATTCGGTAACGTTTGTATTGGCGCTTTGAGATAACGAAGGTAAAACTCTTTTTAGGGAAACAAAACCCCTTCTATTTTCATTAAGTTTAAGAACGATTCCACCAGAAATACTAAGAACCTGAAAAATAATATTTATTTTTCTAAACATATTAGAAACAACAGCAACAACAAAATAAATACCTGAGCTAATGTTACACTTCCAATTGGAAAATGGGGCTCTGAGGCATCTTCTAAACTCTTCAATGTAAAGTATGTTAATTTTGTTGTTGGTTGAATATAAAGAACTCTCCCAAGAACAGTCTTTCCAATTTGATAATTAGTTTTAGATTCTAAGCATTTTTTGAAATAATGTTCATTAACATATCCAGTACACATATCATTGAAAATTACTTCAATGCCGTATTTCACATGCTACAGAATAAAATTGCCTAATTGATTTTCCAAAAAATTAGAAATATTTATTATATTTTACCTTATTTATTATCAAACTAAATGCCATTCCTGGTACAATTCTATCTAAACTAGCACTTTCGACTTCTTTAGCTGATAAAATTGATTGATTCATAGCAGTGACAGTCACTGTAGATACTGTTGAAGTTTGATCACATTTTTCAACAACACACCAAAGGGGTTCACCTATAACTATGAAAACAAACAGAAATTAAATATTTATAAAAACATTTCCATCATTTAGGAATGTATCCAAGTTAAAGTTCATACCTAATGTCCTGTTTTCTTCTAGCTTATCAAATGGTAAGAATATTCTACAATTTTTGTTTCCATTGGTTAGTTGATATCCATGATCAGACACAGATAAAACAGCTGTCCACAATAGCTGTCCTTGCCTAATATCCCGATGGCTTAATTCAAAATTTATTGCTGTTGGTTTAGTTGACAGTAATACATTTGTATTTTGGTCTTCTTGTATTACACTTAAAATTTTTGTGGGAATATACTGCCCTATTCTAAAAATAGTGCTTAGTGTCACTACTTCCTGCAAAAGCATAGGTTTGTTAAACTTGTATCTCAGCAACAAATATTCCATTTTACCTTATCAGTTGCATTTTCAGAAACAGCATTTTCTAAATATTTAGTAAATTCATCGGAAACAGAATTTATATGTAAAATACCATATATTCTTCCTGGTAATTCAACCTTTACTTTTAGATCACTTACATTCTTTATACAACCTAGTACAAGCATACCCTCTTGAAGTTTCTAGGAATAAACGAAAATAAGTATGATATTAAACTCATTACACAAAATTATTTCACATTATAACTAAGCTGATCTACTACAGCTGCAGAAATACTATCTTCTATGTTGGCTCCATTGCTACTTTTAGGTTTCTTCTTATTAATTTTCTTGGTTTTACTTTTAGCAGGTTCGTTTGAAGTAGCAAATAACTAAAATAAACAAAATATTAACGATTGTTATGAGTATTTCAAAGATCCTACATTTTTGACTTTATAAGTAGCTTCTATGTTGGCTGGTAAATGCTTCTTTCCTCCTCTAGGGAAATTTTCACCAACTTCAAGAGTCATTTTAAACAAAACTTAAACTTCACACAGAGTTGAAAACAGGGTACCACTTAATTTTGTTTATTATGTAGCTGTTTATTATATTTTTAACATCACTGCACCATGCTAGCAACACTAACTTAACCTCAAAAACGTGACCTTGATACTTGACTTTTCCCAATATACGCAAATCCCATTGCTTATAATTTTATTCAATATATATAAAAAAAATATGAGTGCTGTCAGCACAGGGCAAAGTAATAATACGTAAATGAAAGTTAGTATCAACAATTTCTTATGCTGAAGTGTACGATGTGTTGCACACCTATTTACAAACAATTCCTTTAAATTTAATTCACTGATTACTATACATCTATTAAAAACCCATAATGGCCGACATCAGTGACAATACGACAACAATTGAAAAAGAATGATGGCCGACAACAGCAACAATTAGAAAAGAATGATGGCCGACAACAGCAACAATTAGAAAAGAATGATGGCCGACAACGGCAACAATTAGAAAAGAATGATGGCCGACACTACGTTATAGTGGAGCAATAAAAATGGGCGGGGTTAGGAAGAACTAGTCTGTTTAATAAAAATAGAAAACCGGGATTTTCAAAAATTTTTCCGAAAAGGACTTAAAATACAAATTATCTTATAACTCCTTTATTAAGGAAAATATATATCTTTATTATTCCGCAAATCCATAAAGGAATAAGTATCTTTTGTTTAAAATGCCCTTTAT